GAAGGCGCGCTGCTGGAATATGCGCGGAAGGTGGCCAAGGAGGGGGCGAAGGGGCACCTGCGCGCCTCAAGGCGTTGCCCCACCCCAGTGCGAAGGATCACCTTGATGAAGTGATGCACGCCCTCTGGAAGGATGCGGCGAAGGGCCGTGTCCTGCTGTGTACCAACGTCAACGAGCACCTGCTCAGGTTGTGAGCGCGCCCATGGCGAGGGTGCCCAAGCAGAACCCAGACCGCGCCATGAGCGACAAGGGCCGCCTCATTTGGGACGGGACGGTCCCCAACCAGAGCTGCCCCAAGGAGGACCACCCTCCAGCGGACCAGCCACGGCATGAGGACCTCGCCCGTATCACCACGTGGTGGAAGGCGCGCATGCCGGGCGTGGACATTGTGCTGGCCAAGAAGGATGTCAAGGACGCCTTCAGGTGGGTGGTGATGCGCGAGATGGACGCGTGCACCTTCGGCGCGGACCTTGAGGGAGGAAAGTGGGGTGTCGCAGCCCTGATCACGGCGGTCTACACGGTCCTCACGTTCGGCTGGACGGGCAGCCCGGGCGAGTGGATGATATGGGCGTGGGTGGCGAAGTGCTACCATGCAGCCTACCGCCCTGCCGATGCGAGGTGGGATGACAGCGCCCCCTTTCACAGCTCGTTCCTCATGGACGATCAGGTGCTCGTCGAGCCCGAGATCGGCGCGAGAGCGGCTCAGAGTAGCGACGCGGCGCTCGAAGGGATAAGGGCGTGCCTCGGCGACGAGGCCATCAACGAGAAGGACCTCGAGGAGGGTGGCTGGGAGACGTCGAAGATATGCTGGGGCCTCCTCTCTCGCACCCGCGAGGGCGCGATTGAGATGCCGGAGCCGAAGATCGAGAAGGCGGCCTATCTACTGGCGGACCCTACGCTGGACTACGGACAGCAGACCTTACCCTGGAACTTCTTGGAGATCTATCGAGGCAACCAGCAGTGCTGGTGCCTCGTCATGCCAGCCATGCGTTGCCTCGCGAGCGCTACTGACGCGCTCATGCGGGGCCGCCCGAGGAGGCTTGCAGGTCCCAGGAGCGATGATCAGCAGGGGCACTTGGCGTGGACGAACTTCTGGCAGGCCACAGAGGTGGCGCGCGTCCTGGCAGCGGATAGGACGAAGTGGAGCTCACGCTTCGCGGGCGCGCTGCCTGGCGTCCTCTCCATCAATGAGAAGTTGGCGCTCCCTGGGTGGCAGTATCGCGTGATATGGGTCACTGGCGACGCCGCCCCGCAGAGGATCGCCACGGTCGACTGGGTTAACGCCAGGTGCGCCTTCCACGCTGCGCCTGACTTCATGCAGGCGTTGCGGGAGGCGGTAGGCGTAGAGGAAGATGAGGAGGCCATCATCGCGATCGCCGAGTTCATGAACCTCGCGACGTTCGCAGCCAAAGCAGGAGTGGAAGGCTGGTGGGAACGCGGGGTGGTGATGCACGGCGGGGACAACTACAACGTGCACTGTTGGCTCCAGAACCGCGGGGCGAAGAACCGGTACGCCAGCTTCCTGATTACGGTGGGCGCGTGCCTCGAGGCGGTCTACGGCTACGAGGTCGCGAGCGCCAACTTCCGCACGTACCACAACGTCGCCGCAGACACCTTCTCCAGGGTCGAGGACGAGGAGGCGGTGGAGTTGGCCTGGTCGAGGGGTCTGGAGGTCGTTGACTTGCGTGGCAGCTGGGCTGAGCACCTCGAGCGGGGCTGGCTCCATCGGGCGCTGGTCTAGGAGGGCCAGAGTGATGCAGACGCCAGGGTCGCGAAGCAGCTGGCCGTGGCTCGACGCGAGCCGCGCCGTCCGCGGACCCTCCAGATGAGACCGGGGCGGGCGGTGACTCTCGTCGAGTGGCGAGGTGCCACGGGCGCCCTGTGCAAAGCGGGGGCCTGTCGGGGCGCTGTCGTTTGGATGCTCGCGGCTCCCGGAGCCCCAGGGGCGGGGCGCGCCGCGTGGCCCCCAGGCGTGGCAGAATGGAACGCCAGAGGCCCGGGGCACGCAGACGCGGCGGCAGCCAGCCTGGCCAACGACGGCGGCGAGGAGGCGAGGCGCTGGGCGGAGTTCGTTGCCCAGGTGAAGGTGGAGGTCGCTATTGCGGACGCGCCAGGCCCCGCTGATCTAGGCCCTGCGTTGCGGAGGCTGAGGGGCGCAGGCTACAGCTGGGAGGGGGTGGAAGTGTGCTGCTCGAGGCTGGGCGACCCGATCGCGAAGCAGCGCAGGGTGGTCCTGGCGGTCCAAGGCGGAGGGGGGGCGATGAGCTTGGGCCAGGAGTCCGTGGAGCCGCAGAGCGTCAGGTCGTGCGTCGGCAAGCTCAGCCAGGGCGCCATCAGACTCAGCAGTGAGGATGGCGAGCTGGTCCTGGACCCGCGTATTCCCAAGCGGGGGGGGCCCGGCGGCGCGCGACCCTGCGGCCGCTGGCACCCCAGAGGAGGAAGCGCCAAGGAGCTTGTGTATTCGTCAGAAGGTCCGTCGCCGAGCATTAGGAGCGCGGCGCTGGCAGGGGGGGCTGGAGACCGCATCTTGTTCCATGATGCTCGGAGCCCGCTCCCAGGAGTCTGGCAGCTGGGAGGCGAGGAGATCTGGAAGCTCGCAGGAGGCGCACCGGCGATCTTTCGGCGGGCAGTTGAGGAGGACACCGAGACCAGCGACCTCGTGGCCTGGGGCATCAGAGCAGCTACCCCCCAGCTTGCGGACGCCATGATCGAGGAGGCGCTGTTCCAGCTGGAGAGCTCCCGGCAGCAACAGGATGCTGGCAAGACGGGGGTTTGCTCGCTAGCAAGAGAGGATGCGCAGTGGGAGCGGTTGCAGACGTGGCTGCGCGCATGCCGCGAGTGCCCGAGCGACCCAGGAGGCCGGGCGGCAGCGCTCAGGAAGGAGAGGCTACCTACCAAGTGCGGCATGCTCCCAGACGAGGACAGCGGGCTGGGCCAAAGGCGGGCGCAGAGTTTACTCGACGACCCACACCCAGACGTGCTTTCCCTGCGTGCGGGGCGTGACCCGGACGGAGGACCACAGTGCTGGAATGGGTGCGGGAGGAGCTGCGCTCGCTTCGACCAGGGCTGGGGCTGGTGCTGCTGTCGGACGTGCCGTAATACAGATGGCGAAGCCCATGGGCCCTACTGTCAGGCCCAACATGAGGACCTCCAGAAGATGCAGAGAGAGACAGGCTACCGCCCACCGGCCTGCGAGGAGGCGAGTGGCAGCGGCGGTCCTGGAGCCCAGGCGGCAGGCGAGGAGGCATCGAGGCACCCCTCGCCCAAGGGAGAGGCGAGCGGCAGCGGCGGTCCCGGAGCCCATGCAGCAGGAGAGGAGGCATCGAGGCACCCCCCGCCCAAAGCGGCGCCGGGCGGCCGCCTGCCCCCCACTTGGGAGGAGCAGCAGCACGCGGTGGTGAAAGCACCCCCACGCGAAGCGCAGGCGGGTCTGCGACCTGAGGAGGCGGGCGGCAGCGGAGGGCCTGGAGCCCAGGCAGCAGGCGAGGAGGCGCAGGCCACGCCGCCACCGATGGAACCGCAGCCGGGATGGGCGCTGCCAGCGCCCAAGGAGGCTGTGGGAGGGAGACTGCCGTCACGCCCCCCCCCTCGCGGCAGGTCGCCGCCACTGGTGACGCAGAGGAGAATCTGGGGGGGTGGCGAGCCGCCACCCGTGCCCTTCCCAGGAGGCGACCCTAGCGCCAGACACGAGTGGTGTGAGTACTGCGGCGTGCAAGGCGAGGGTCGAGATGTGGGTTGCCCGATGTGTCATAGGGTTTACCCCATCTCGATGGCACGGGATCAGGCGCTGGCGGCGCAGAGGGCAGCTGAGGCAGAGAGTGCGGCTATGGCAGCGGCCCGAGCGGCGCCGCTGCCGCTCAGGTCGTTGCCCAGCGACGCCCAGCTTGGCGATCCGATCCCTCCGAGCGGGCCGGGCAGGCACGCCGGAGCTGTCTCCGACGACGAGAGGTGGGGAGGTTGGACCCCAAAGGGCCGGGAGGCCACTACCCCGGGCGGCGCGATTGCGGCCGGCGCGGCGGGGGCGGGGCCCGCCCAAGCTCCAGCCCAGGAAGGGAGGCCGGTCAGGGATCTGGCCCCCTGCCTCAACCCGGGGTGTCCCTACCTGGAGCACAGCGCCCCTGGAAGGCTATGGAAGCCGGGCTACTGCTGCGACAAGTGCGGGGGTCGCCACCACGAGCAGGATTGGGCCGCGGGAGGCGTCGCGCATTACAAGTGCTGCGAGAAGGCGCCTCACGGCCGCGAGGGAGAGCAGCGGCCAGGAGAAGGAGGTGGAGGAGGCGGCGGGAGCCGCAAGAGGAATAAGAAAAATAAGAGACCTGCGCTGGATGACGCGGCGGCGGAGGGCCGGGCCAGGGTGCTGGCGGCGCTCCACGATGATGTCGAAGAGGAGGGGCCGTCACCTGAGTGCCCACCTCCCTCGCCACGTGAGCTGAGGAGGAGGAAGAGGGACGCAGAGGCGGAGGCCCGCAAGAACGAGCCGCGCATCAAGCTTCCTTGCGAGGATGCTGCCAACTAAGGTGAAAGAGGAAGCGAAGTCTGAGGATGAGGGTTCGAAGACGGCTGCAGCTTCGTCGTCAAGGCAGGAGACGGGCGGCGGGGGCGGTCGAGGGGTTGACCCCGAGGCGGCAGGTCGCAGGTGCAAGGGGCTGGCTGACCGCGTGGAGGGCCGGCGCACCATCGGGAGGAGCGCGGCGAACCAGGAGTACCGCCGCTGTTTGGATCATGCAGCGCACGCCCTAGCACGGGCTCAGGAGTTGCGCCCGCAGGTGCTTGAGGAAGGACACGGCGGAACGGCCACGCCCGAGGGTCAGGGGCGGTCTAGGTCGTCGGGGGAGAGGAGACGCCCAGCGAGCCCGGCAAGGAGGGCTCGCTCAGCCCCCCCCCGGCCTACGCGGGGCATCGGCGCGCCGCGTGCCCGTGTCAGGGAGCCCTTGCCGACGCCGTCACCAAGAGAGAGAACAGCCCCCCGCAGCCCGCCCCGGCGCAGCGCCACCCCGGAGGACGAGGGAGGCGATGATGATGCTGCGAGCTCTGTCGACACGGAGCTGCAAGCAGAGTCGGTGGAGGCCGACGCGGGCACGAGCAGCGAGGCCAGGATGGCGGCGCTGAGGGCCCGGGCCATCCAGATCGAGCGCGACGAGGGCGACGCGGCGGAGATGGCCAGGAGGAACGAGGCGCGGCAGAGGATAGTGGCGCCACGGGAGGGCCGCCGGAGGCCGCCTAGGTCTGAGCGCTCCCTATCGCCTGGGCCATCGGCGCCGAGCTCCCCGCCGCTCCACGTATCGCGGCAGGCTGAGGCGGAGGAGCGCCCGGCCTACGCGCCGCTGCCCGGCGAGGACGTAGAGATCAACCCGCGCGCGGTGGCGCGCTACCGAGCGGACAGGCGGAGCCTGGCAGTGCGGGCCCGGGCGAGAGAGGTGTTCGCACCCATCTCGAAGCCATGGCACGGGAGGCCACGCATGGCTCAGGCCGCCGTCGCGATCGAGGTGGGGACCGCAGGCGCGGCAGCAGTGGAGGAGACGACCGCAGGAGCGGGTGCCTCGAGCGGGCGCAGGCTGAAGAGGAGCTTGAGGCGCTGGCGAGGAGGTGGAGCTACCCCGAGCAGAGAGGAGGGTGGCTCGACTGGGCCATGGCAGCCATGGGCGCAGGCGAGGAGCACGACCGCAGAGCGGGGGGCACCTCGCACAAGGGCAAGAAAGGCAGCAAGAAGGTCCGCGGCCCGTGCGAGAACAAGCCGCCCAACGTCCTTGGACCAGAAGCCATCCGAGCGAGTGCCCGCCCGGATGGCCTCACTCTGACGGACCTCAAGACGCGCGAGGACTGGGAGAAGGCCAAACTCGAGCTCATTCTCGACAAGCTGGCTAGCTCCACGATCAAGTCGTACAGCGTCGGCTGGAGGTTGTGGACTCTCTTCTGCCGCACGAGGGGAATCAGTCCGATCCGCGAGATCACGCCAGAGAGTAGGAGGAATGAGAAGGAGCTGCTGCTGGAGTTCGTCATCCACTTGGCGCGCCGAGGTTGCAAGAAGGCGGGCACCATCAAGCAGTACCTGAGCTCGGTCCGAGCCCAGCACCTCGCGCTCGGCATGGGCGACATCACGGAAGGCGCTGGTAGGCTTTGGATGGCGATCGACGGGCTCAGAAGGAGGGATGGCGGCACCAAGCGCAAGAAGCCAGTCACTCCCCGCATGATGAGGTGGATCAGGCGGAAGCTGCAGCCAGAGAGGTCGAGAGAGGGCGCAGCTCTGTGGGCCGCGGTGGCCACGGGCTACTTCTTCCTCCTGAGGGCCAGCGAGTACGTCTCGAACGATCAGAACGGCTACATGGGCAACAAGGGCCTTCGGGGAGCTGACGTCACCCCGAAGGCGAGCGGCGAGCCGACCCGCGCGCGGGGCGAGGCGAACGAGGTCGTCATCAAGATCCGGGCCAGCAAGACCGATCAGTACAACAGGGGTGAGTGGCGCAACCACTTTCGCATCGTGGTCACGGAAGATTCAGATCGAGCTGAGCACATCTGCGTGGTGGAGGCGCTCGAGATCTATGCTGGTTGGGCCAACGAGAGGTTCTCGGGCGCGCAGATGTACGACCCCCTGTTCGCTTTCGACGACATGCGCTTGGTGACACGTGCTGACGTCCAGCGCATGGTGATGCAGTCGGCGGCGGCGGAGGGCATGGACCCGAACGACCTGGGCTCGCGCAGCCTGAGGATCGGAGGAGCGTCGGCGCTGTACGCGGCATTCAAGGACACCGCTCTGGTGCAACGCTGGGGCAGGTGGAACAGCGACGCCTTCCAGGGGTTCCTGTGGGAGGCGCGCGGCATGGCAGAGGGGGTTGCCAGCAGTATGGCGGCCACCGACATCACGATGGTTTGAGAGGTTGTGCAGTCGCGTTGGCCGGAGGCTCAGAGCGCGTGGGCAGAAGGGGCCGATCAGGCCTGTGCTGGGAGCGCAGGGGAGTTTCGGGGCTGGCAGCGCGGCGCTAGGCATAGCCAGGGGCGCTGGGCTGTGTGGGGCCAGGTCCCCCCGCCAGTGCGCGCGGGGGCCCTCGAGGTGGGCTCCTCGGCGCGCCAGGAAGAGAGCCGGTGCAGGATGCACCAGAGGGGGCGGCGCTGGGCCGCCAGGAGAGCACGAGGGGGGTCCAGCGGCGGCGGGGACGCCGCCGCAGAGCTTGTGCCTGCGGAGTGGACCGCAGGCGCCTTGGTGCCAAAAAAGGTGTGCTCGTCCTCCTCGCCATAATCAGGAGGTAAAGAGGCGAGGAGGAGGAGGAGGAGGAGGAGTTTCGAGGCAGCTTGAGGAGGGAAAGGAGGTTTGTCGGAGGCGGCCTGAGGGCTCAGGGCCATCAGGTCCAGGCGAGCCCGATCCGCCCGGGGCCTTGAGGCGGAGAGTAAGGAGGAAACGTGATCGTTCGTGAGAACAGTGGGTTTCCTCCCGCCTCGCAGCCTCCTCTCTGCTCTTGTCCTCTCCCGCTGCCGTGTTTCTCAAGGCTCCGAGGAGCCGCTTGCATTTTGGGGTCCCACCCACCCACGCCAGAGGAGGTGGGGCCCCAGCCGAGTTTGCTCGGCGGGCCCCCACAGGGGGGCTCGCACGCGCTTGCCGCATCGCGGTCGGCGCGTCGTTTCGCCTCCCGCGGGATTCCTCGCGGCGGGTCCAGCAGCGGCGGGGACGCCGCTGCAGAGCTCGTGCCTGCGGAGTGGACCGCAGGCGCCTTGGTGCCAAAAAGGGGCGCTCGTCCTCCTCGCCATCATCAGGAGGTAAAGAGGCGAGGAGGAGGAGGAGGAGGAGGAGTTCGAGGCAGCTTGAGGAGGGAGAGGAGGTTTGTCGGAGGCGGCCTGAGGGCTCAGGGCCATCAGGCCCAGGCGAGCCCGATCCGCCCGGGGCCTTGAGGCGGAGAGAGTACAGGAGGAAACCGAGGAGAAAGTACATGCTGGCGAGAAAAACGTCGACGTTGCTATGGTTTTTGGTAGGTGGGACGGGGGGTCCCGCGTAGGGTTGGCCAGGCGTCCGCGCGCGATGTGCGCCCCGTCCCATTCTTGCTACACTTTTCGCAGCGTCGACGACCAGAAAGTCCATGTTGGCGATAAACACCGTTAATTTTATAGTATTTTTTTGATGGGTAGGACGCGGCCACCCGCTTGGGGTTACCCAGCGGATGGTCATTCCGTCCCTCCCCTACTACACTTTTCGCAACTCGACGACATCTTGGCGGGAAACAATTAAATTGGTGTGGTTTTTTGATGGTTAGGACGGCGGGGTTGCTATCGGCAGGCTAGGTGAGGATATGGGGGTGTTTACTGTATACTCATAGGAAGTAAAAAGGATACGGGAGTGGCGGGGGCGAGGTGGAAGACGAGCACGGGGGGGGGGATAGGGGGAGGGAGGCGAAAAAAGGGCGGAGGACGCGCTGCCGGGCTTGTACGGACGGGGCCTGCCAGCGCCCGACCGACCGGCTCCTGCCGCGCGCCAGCTGAAGCCGTCGCATGGGCACTCTTCGCGCCCAGCTGCCAGGCCGGTTTTGCCGTCGAGCAGTGGGCGGAAGCAGCGGCCGAACGCGGGCTTCCCGACGAGGACGGGCACGGGAACGCCGCGGTGGACCGCCTGGCACCAGCGGCGGCGGCGGCCCGCCTGCCCGCGGCAGACATTCGGCAGGCGGGCGCAGATCAAGCGCACGCGCTGCAGGCTCAGCAGCAGGTGCTGGCCGAGGTGGAGGCCGCGGCCCTGGAAACCGGTCGTGGCAGCACTGGCCATGGCCCCCGCGCGCGCTGGACGGCGCCCCGCCCCCGCCAGAGGCCGGGCATGAGGCGGCCCTTGGAAGCGGACGACGCGGCCGTGGCCGCCGCCGTTGCCCCCCGATGCAAGCAGCGGCGCCACCGCTGTTCGCCGACGGCGCGTGGCCCGCGCGCGCGGCACCGCCGAGGCCAGGTTGGTTCGCCTGCTTGCGCTGCGGCTGCTGGGCCACGCAGCGCCTCGCGGACCGCCACGCGGCGTGCGGGTCGGGGCCACTCCCCCGTGGGTGTACCAGCTCTACTACTGCTCCCAGCTGCGCGCGCGGGGGGCGCCGACGCCGCGTGGCGGTAGCGTTTGGACGAGCGGTTGGGAGCGCCCGACGCGCGTGACGCTGGTCGAAACGCTACCGTTTTGCGGTAGCGTTTCGACGAGCGGTTGGGAGCGCCCGAGTAATCCGGAGAGTCGCAGCGGCGCGGGCGGGCGCGCGCCCACCTTGCGGGCGCGCGCCCACTTTGTCTTGGCCCCTTCCTTTCCTTCCGCATCTGCGTGCTCATCCTCCGCGCGTTTTGGTTCCGCCCGCTTGGCGGTGCCTTGTGGTTCGGGGGCCCCGTCGCGTTCATCGCTAGCTTACGCCATTGGCAGCAGATGCTGAGCCTGAGAGGAAGTCGCATCAGCATGGGCGTGCAGATTGAGTGGTTTTCACCGTACTTCTGAGATTGATGCTTATTTGTGCGATCTTCAGGGTCAGCGTTTCAGCCGCCTTCCTCTCTAATATCTTCCTTCTCCTCATCCTCTTTCTCCTCCCCCTCTTGACGAGCCATTCTCCATCCAGGGGCTTGCGCGCGAGGGCCAGGTTGTTCTGGTTGGCCAAACCTGAAAGTGGCGATGGACACGTATCACTTTTGGAGATCAACGACCGTGCGCGGGCCCAGTCGCCAGAGAGCCGTCGAGAATGAAGGCCGTGCCCTTCCCTTTCGCCTTTGCCTCCCCCCGATGCCCAGCCGAGGACCGCGGACAGTGTGCAGAGAGACGTTGGTGGTCGCGCTGGGATCAGCGCAGCCGTGCGAGAGCAAATCCGCTACAGCACAGGGATCCATTCGTGCGGGAAGGGCGGCAATGAGCAGCCAATATCTATTACAACGCTGGGAGTCGTGCGTGCGAGGAGAAGCTGGAAGCGAAACTCGAGTTCTGCGCAAGCAGTGGGCGACATGTCAGGTCAACGCAGGGGGTGTTCATGCGAGAAGGGCAGCAGTGAGCGAAGGACCAGCTACAACGCTGGCAGCAGCTCGTGCGAGAAGGAACTGTGGGTGGCAACTCGAGCTCCAGAGCCCGCTCGGGCTAACAACATCAGCTACATGGCTGGAACCAGGTCGTGCGTTCGAGAAGGCCGAGCAGTGACAGCAATCTCTGTCGCTGCGCAGCGTGGCAGAACGTGGATGGCATATTCTACAACGTTGGGAGTAGCGCAGGAGAAAGCAGGCAGTGGGCGACTTATCATCTACAGCGCTGGGAGCTGTTCGTGCTAGAGGGAAGGCAGTGAGCGACACACCAGCTACAACGTTGGTCGTAGTTCATCGGCGAAGGCAGGCAGTGAGCGACATATCAGCTACAATGTTGGGGGTACTCATTCGTGAAGGGCGGCAGTGGGCGACATATCAGTTACAATTCTGAGGGAATTCGTGCGCGGAAGAAGGCAGCGGCAGTGCACGCGGTCATTGCGAGAAGCGTGAGGAAAGGCAAGGGCTGAAACCGAGCCAGGCTCGCCCCACGCCCCCTGCAGCAAAGCGGGGACCTTGGTGCAGGGGTGCGAAGCAGAGCCAGGCCCGCACCATGAACCCTCTAGGGACCAGGGTGGAAGAGGGCGAAGCTGGAGCCACTGCGATCAGCTACAACGTGCGGGGGAGATGGCTGGAGCCATACGTTCTCAACTACTGTTTCGGTGTGCCTTTCCAGGGCTACAACCCATGAGGCAGCCCCTGTCGCCCAGGATAGCATGTGGGAAGGTGACGGCTCCTTTCATCGCCCCATTCGGCCATTCACACGGATGGGTGGATCAGGCCACCCGAATCCCATTCTCATTCTCTTCTTGGGGCTGTTTTTGTGCAGCAGGGTTCCATGATGTGATTCGTTGGCGGCCCCGTTGGTTCGGGCTTGGCAGGTTGCGTCAGGTTGCCTTTGCTCGGCTGCCAGCAGCCTCACCCTGTTGGCTCGCGATTCGCGGCTTCCCTGCCCTTCCCTCCCCCCCCCATTCTCCCAAAGATTGCGCCGAATGGGGGGGGCAATGGGATAGGAGAGAGCATATGGGAGAGAACACGAGGAGCAGCCGCTGGCAGGCAGATGAGGAAGAGCAGCGGCAGCAGGAGCAACAGCAGCATCAGCGGTATTCAGCAGCCCATCGAATATCTCTATTTCCCTACATGTACGACAAGCCTAGAGGCACAAATGCAAATCAGGCATCCGTTGACCTCTCTGCCAGAGCAGCCAGAGCGCAGCTCGTGCAGAAACTGCGGTGACTATTGGTGGCCACTCTTCCCAGGCTACGTGCGCGGAGGAGAAGCAGCAGCAACAGCAAATGGCAGAGATGAGTGCAGGAGGAGGTGGGCCCAAACCTGAACCCGCGGACTGAACGCTTCAATCCGTGAGCACGGAGCTTTCGATTCCTTTGCCAGGGCAGGTGCGGTTTTTTGACGGAATATAGAGAACTGCGAGCGGCGCCCCGAGGCCGAAAAGGAGGAGACACGTCGGGACCCATACCGCCCGTCCGCCAGATGCCTGGGGAGGAGGAGGAGGAGGAGGAGGATGAGGAGGAGGAGGAGGAGAAGGAGGTGGAAGCGCCCTTTCGGCCAGGTGGGCGAGTACTCTACGCCCCAGCAAGCTTCTATTCGGTTCTCTTTCTCGTTTCGCCGGTGGCTTTGCTTCTGCTGCGCTCACCTTGATCCTGCCTTTTCCTTTTTGTGTTGTCACACGCCTAAGTCCTAAAACGGTTGTGCCGCACCAAATTTATGGCACATCTCAAAAATAAACCAGACACCACACACACGTACGCCGATTGCCGATCAATTGTAGGAAGACTTCCACAAGGAAGGCAGGAGGAACATCCAGGACATGTAGCAAGTTGGTCGAATATAAGAACCCTGGAACATTAGTCGTCATATATTGCCCCCTGGAGGACCCCCCCCCAAAAAAAAAGTCCGACAATTTCGGAGGCACCCAAATGGTGTTGTGACCACACCCTGTGGTGAGTTTGTAGGGATTCGGGGATCACCGCGCGCTTTTGGGACTCGAGGCCTTCTCCGAGGACGTCTCGGGCGACAGGGGCCTCCGGGGCCCCAAGACCGTGTGGTGACGGACCGTGCGGTGAGGTCTTGGGGGATTTCGAGGTCGCCGCACCGCACCGTGTCGGGACTCCAAATAATTTCGAGCTGGCGGGCTTGGTCTGGTTCGATTCTGATTGGCCGCCGATCCCCCGAGGAAAGGCACCGATGACGCTACCCTTCCCTCGTTTTCGCCTTTTTGGGCCTCGTGGGAGGCCCTCGTCGCCAACGCTGGATTCGCTTCGGAGTTTTCGTCAGAGAGCTCTCAGGGAGAAGTCTGGGGAGTAGCGATATCGGTCCTTTTTGGTTTCCCCAGATCCAGTGCGACCCGACGTTTGCACGGCGCAGTTGTGCTGTGTATTTTGGCGCGGCCGAGTCGATTTGATTTCGGCTGTGTGCCAGTGCGGCTCGACCCGACGCACGCTCCGATCCTGCCGGATTTCCCGATGGGGTGCTGACTGACCTTGCTTGCTTTCTCTTTGAGGAGCTGGTTTCGGCAGTGCCACCGCGCGCTTTTCTCGAAATAGGGGGGTCCTCCGGCGCCGGGCGGCGCTGGGAAGACCAGCTACGAGATTGTGTGTTCATCCTCTGGCGCGTGACGGTCGTTCCCCCCCTCAGGTAATAACGGTAACTATCGTGGCCTGGACCCCCCTTAGATTTTGGTGCTGCGCGCATACAAAGGATGGGCCGCTCTCCACGGCTACCCTAGCACCCTTCCCCTTCGGTCCATTCTTGGCCGCTCTCGCTGGCCGCGCCCCTCTCACAAAGTGCCGGCATGGCCTTCCGAGGCCCTTGCATCCTTATAGTTCGTCCTTAGTATACGGGTTGACTGTATGGCGATCGTGGGGCACCCCCGCCCGCCCTGACGTGCCCCACCCCGCTCAAGCGTTGCCGTTACCCGGGGCTCTGGTCTCCCCCTCGGGTACAACGGCCGGCACCGGAAACAAGAGGCCCGCATGGCATGGCTCTTACACGAGGGGAGGCGAAGGCGGGGTAAGGGAGGGGGGTTTTGGGGGCCCCGGTGTTCTCCTAGGGCCACCACGCATCACGAGGATGCAGGGGCAGGGGGGCAGAGGGGGCCACGGGCGATCGAACGACGAGGCTCCGAGCTCTAGAACACAGCCGTGCAAGAGAGTCAACAAGAGCAAAATCTACACGAGCCGAGTCGTCAACCCCTCTTTTCCGCCCCCCCCCTTCGCCCGAGCCGACCCTCGCGTCTAAGGTGCTTCAGCGCCCCGTGACGGGCCACCGCCAGGCCCCCGCGCGCGGCCGCCGGCTGCGGGCAGCCCCCCGGCCGGCGGGTCCGCTCGTCGGGGGTGGCTCCCTGTGCACCCAGTGGGTTTCGGCTGACGGACAAAACGCTGTACTCTCTCGGCGGCGGAGTCCGAACCCTGTCCTCGCCGACCCACGATGCAGGCAACTCGATGGTTGTTTGGTGTCGGCGGGCCAGATTCCCTGCGTCCTGCCTGCGATGCCAGCCAGCACTGAATCGGGAGCAGGGGGGCGAGTTGAAGTTTGCGCCGGCGCCCCAGTCGCGCGGGCGGGGCAGGCTTCTGTCCATCAATCGTATCGATGCCCTGGCCCTCGGCCGCCAGATCTGGTGCCCGAGGTCCGAGGCATCGCCCCTGGCGCCCCAATCGTCGGGACGCCCTTCTCCCTCTGGGAGGCAGCGCCCGGGGCTCTGTCGTTCGGTCTGTCTTTGCTTCTCTCGCTCTTTCCGCGGTTTTCTTTGCCTTCCTCTGGCGAAGGACAGGAGGAAGGCAACCCAGGCAGGGTCCATTTCGAAGCAATCGATCCGCTTCGATATCGCCCGCCCCCCAAGTCGCGCGGGTGGTGGAGGATTTGGTCCACCCACCACTGCAGGGCTCATTTCGACTCCTCCGATTTGATTCGATTCGTTTTCGATGGCTTCCGATTCTGGATTCCGACTTCTTATGTGACGCATACTAGCCTGCCGATTTCTGCCGATTCCACTTTTCCCGACTCGGCTGCCGATTTCCGCCGGTCCGATTCACTTCGATCGCCGATCCGACTTATCGATTCGATGCTGGGCTCTCCTGCCGCTGCGGCCCTGGCGGGGCGGTGAGGCCACCCGTGGCATTCTGCTTTCCCGAGCGGCAGGGGGTGGCCGGCGCCCGTGGTGGGGGAGGCCGCCAGCGAGGGCGCAGAGGCTGCGCAGCAGCTGGTCCATGCTACGTCCGCTGCCGCGCCCCGACACCACCGCCAGGGGGCCACCTCCAGCGAAGATCAGGCGATCGCACGCATGGATCAGGGGGGCGTGGATCAGCGACGCGTCCCGTGTCCATGGGAGATCGCGGATTTCCGCCACCGAGTGAGGTGGCACCGGCCGCATTTTGGGGGGCACCTCCCCCGATGCATGGATTTGGCGACCGCGCGGGGGGACCACACCTCCAGGGGGGCCTCCCCTGGCTCCTCCTGCTGGTGGTCCCAGGTGGTGGTGGTGTCGCTTTTCCGCGTCCCCGCCGAGACCTCATTGGACTTGGAGCCAGCTGGGGGTCTGAGGTGGCCAGCAGGAAGGGGCGAGGTCCGACGATCTGTGTTCGAGCAGGTGCTTTGCCTTGATCCGCCTCTGGGGCCCGTTTCCGGGCCCTGGGACCGTCAAAAACGGATCCAGGGTGACAAATTACATTAGATTGACCCTGGGAGGGGTCCGGGACGGATTTTGAGCGCATGTGGTCTCGTCCTCCTTCTTGACCGATTTTTTCGCGGCCTATCCAGCTCAGACTCTCCGGCCGCCACCAACATTGGAGCATGCTGGCAATAAGCTGAAAAGTTGTTTATGTCTCCCCTTTCTCTCGGCGGTGAATCGGACTGGTCCTAAAACCTCCTCGTCGCGGCGGGCATTATTATCCCGATATCGTTGGGCGGGCTGGATCATGCTGCGGGATTGTGAAGGCTCCCTGGGGTACCCTGCACGACAGAATAATGTTGAGCACGTTTGTAAGAGGATTGCTACACATACGTGCATACATACATACATACATACATACATACATACATACATACATACATACATACATACATACATACATACATACATACATACATACATATATCTGTATATATATACATATAAGTTATCAACATATTGTGCTGGCGCTGTTGGCCAGTGCTGCCGACCCGGGGCGCTCTGGATAATGATGATGATGATGACGATGATGATGATGATGATGATGATGATGATGATGGTGATGGTGATGGTGATGGTGATGGTGATGGTGATGGTGATGGTGATGGTGATGGTGATGGTGATGTTGATGATGCTGATGTGGATGATGATGATGATGATGATGATGATGATGATGATGATGATGTTTAGGATAATGTTCATCATGGTAGAGGGCATGACAAAGAATGACGATTGTGATGACGACGACGATCATCAGGATTGTGATGCTGGTGATGGTGATGGTGGTTGTGATGATGGTAGCGGTGTGCCCACAATAATGCTGATAATCATAGTGAGGGCGTTGGTGTTGATGTTGATGATGTGAATTCTCAGGATACTCAGGATGATGTAGTTGGTGAGGACGGCGATGGTTATGGTGATGTTGATGCTGATGATGATGATGATGATGATGATGATGATGATGATGATGATGATGTCGATGATGATGATGATGATGATGATGATGATGATGATGATGATGATGATGATGATGATGATGATGGTAATGTTGATGTTGATGTTGATGACGATGCTGATGATGATGATGCTGATGATGATGATGATGATGATGATGATGATGATGATGATGGTGTCGTTGACCATGGTGATGGTGGTGGGGATGTTCATGACGACGGTTAAAATGAAGATGATGAGGTATGGGTCGGCCATCGTATGCTGCGCCTTCCGTCTCCACATCTTGTGGAATTCATAAGGGGCCGTCCTGGGGCTGTTTTTGGTTTTTGTGAAGATGGAGGAAGAGGATGGACGGACGAGGGAGGAGGAAGGAGGAGGCAATAGGTAGGGGGGAGGAGGGAGGCGGGAGGAGGGAGGAGGGGGGGAGGAGGGGAGGGAAGGGAGGGATGAGGAGAGGTGAAGGATGAGGAGGAGGATCAGAGAGGAAGGATCATGAGGAGGAGGAGGAGGAGGAGGAGGAGGAGGAGGAACTGGAGGGCGCCCTCTGTGGCCGTTTGGGGGTCGTCCTGGGAGCCTCTTGAGCCGTCTTGACGCGGTCTCGGGGCCCTCTGGGACCGTGGGAAGCGAAGCCCCCCGCCCCCGAGCACTGCACGGCGCCGGGAATGGCGTCCCCTCACCTGCAGTGTGAACCCTCCTCCCCCCCAGCTTCCGAGCACTAATGGCGTCGGGAGTGGCGTCCCCCCCCCCTTGCAGGGCGAACCCCCCCCCCCGGCTCCCGAGCACTTGTCCCCCCCCCCCCCCCCTTGCAGAGCGAACCCTCCTCCCCCCCCCCCGCTCCCGAGCACTGAATGGCGTCGGGAATGGTAGCGTCCACCCCCCCCCTTGCAGAGCGAGCCCCCCGCTGGCTCCCGAGCATTGAATGGCGTTGGGAATGGCGTCCCCCTCCCCCCCTTGCAGAGCGAACCCCCCAAGCTCTCGAGCACTCGTCCCCCCCCCCCCCCCCTTGCAGGGCGAACCCTCTCTCCCCCCTGGCTCCCGAGCACTGGAATGGCGTCCCCCCTCCCCCCCTTGCAGAACGAACACCCCCCCCGGCTCCCGAGCACTGAATGGCGTCGGGAATGGCGTCCCCCCCCCCCATTGCAGAGCCAACTTACCCCCGGCTCCCGAGCACTTGTCCAACCCCCACCCCCGGCTCCCGAGCACTGAATGGCGTCGGGAATGGCGTCACCCCCCCCCCTTTGCAGAACGAACCCCCCCTGGCTCCCAAGCACTGAATGGCGTCGGGAATGGCGTCCCCCCCCCCGTGCAGAGCGAAGCTTGAGCGAGCTCAAGTCCACGCTCTCAGGAACTCACACGCTGGTTCGGCGGATTATTTGCCGAGGGCGCTGCTCGCCATCTCCGACTTCGTCTCGTCGCGTTTGTAAGAGGATTGCACCATGAACTCGTATACATTTCCCATATCATGTTTCTGCGGATCAAGTCACTGAGTCCAGATGTTCCATGCGAGCGCGCCTGAGGCATACTGACTACAAGTCGTCGTAGTCGTAATCGCAATCGTAGTCGTAGCTGTCGGCGACGTTGTTTCGCGGCAGGTCCCGCAGGGAACAAAATAATTAGTTAGTTCCCCTAATTGGTGGAACACCAATCCGTGAATAAGGCCGCCGAAGAAATAAGCCCTTACACCTTATTGGGAAGGTCTAAAGACTTTTTCACGGTAACCTAGGAAGAGGCGTAGTCAAGCATCTGTCAAAATCGCATTTTTTATGCAGCATTGGAGGGGTCTTGCACCCCGAGGCTGGCCCCAAATGCTAGTCGCCAGCTCTGCCCTTCCTTGGTGACGTGCTGGTCCCTCCCTTAGGCGGCCCTCCACATCGGAGGATAAAGGATCGAGGATGGAACATGTTATGCGTCTCTGACAGTTCTGAGTCCCCGGGTACCTCCAGAGGCCTCCAGGGACCTTTGGAGACCTGGTCTTCAGAGACCCCCCACCCAGGTTGACAATTGAGCTGTTTCGGCGTCTTGAAGTGAGCCTAACTCGGCGGCCAGGGGAGAGGAGATATTAGGATGGATGAACAAGCTAGGTACGTTCGCGCCGTATCTGGCATCTTGTCCCTCCGATCAATCGTTGTCCACTGCGCTGAATTAGTTTTTATCCGCTGGCTGCGGTGTCCTAGGTCCTAGATCCTAGATGACCTTGGTCCCCAAAGTGGCGAATTGTGTGATAAAGCGATGCGCAATCAGGAACGGGGGCTTTATGCAGTGGAAGAGAAGGAGGTGGCGGATGAGAACGTGGATGACCATGAGGAACAGGAGAAGGAGGAGAAGGAGGCGTAGAAGGAAGAGGGAAATGTTCCAGGCTTTGCACCTAGAGCCCGCTCAACAATTACTCCGACGGAAGGACCCCGCATGAGAATCGGTTCAGCTTGCCCTTAGCCCTTTCCTCCTCGCCCTGGCAAACACCCTCTTCTCGCCCTCTGCTCTGCCCTTTCCTCCTCGTCCTCCTCCTCCTCCTCCTTCTATGGCTTCTCCTCCTTCTTCTAGTTATCCTCCTCCTCCTTCTATTCAGGCCTGAGGAGCCCAAAAGTGACGACAGTTACAGGATGCCGATGACCCGCCTCGGATTCGAACATGAAATGCGGGCCCCTTGGGGAGGGAGCTCCCGCCTGAGACTTCCTCACAATTCACTTACAGACGAGGCTCCCGCGTGGTACTTCCTCCATGTTCAGGCCTGAGGAGCCCAACAGTGACGACAGTTACAAGATTCCGATGGCCCGCCTCGGATTCGAACATAAAGCGCGGTCCGCTTAGGGATGGAGCTCCTGCCAGAGACTTCCTCAAAATTCACTCACAGACAAGGCTCCCGCCTGAGACATCCTCCATATTCAGGCCTGAGGAGCCCCAAAGTGACGACTGTTACAGGATGCCGATGACCCGCCTTGGATTCGAACATGAAGCGCGGGCCCCTGAGGGAGGGGGTTCCAGCCTGAGACTTCCGCGCAATTCACTTACAGACGAGGTTCCCGCCTTATACTTCTTCCATGTTCAGGCCTGAGGAGCCCAAGCGTGACGACAGTTACAGGATTCCAATGGCCCGCCTCGGATTCAAACATGAAGCGCGGGCGCATCAGGGAGGGAGCTCCCGCCTGAGACTTCCTCGCAATTCACTCACAGACGAGGCTCCCGCCTGATCCTTCCTTTATGCTCAGGCCTGAGGAGCCCAAGCGCGACGACAGCTACAGGATTCCGATGACCCGCCCCGGATTTCGAACAAGAAGTGCGGATCCTGTAAGGAAGAGGCTCCCGCCTAAGACTTCCTCACAATTCACTCACAGACGAGGGTCCCGCCTGAGACATCTTTCATTGTCATGCCAGGGTGTGAGTGATGACGAAATAATCAGAGAGTGAATGATGATGGTGAGTGAGCGAATGAGTGAGTGAGTAATGATGATTATGGTGACGATGAGAAGTGAGTGTGTGAATGTGTGATTGAGCGAGTGTGAGCATAGGTGAGTGTGTGATTGATGAACATGATGATGAGGATAATGACTGAGTGAAGGAGTGAGTGAGGGTGAGTGGTGACGAGGGAGGGAGGGAGTGTGACAGGATTGCGCGGGGTTGAAGGTGAAGTGGCGCAGTTACTTCGATTGTCACATGTCCAGTCTCTCTCTCTCTCTGGGCCCCGGTGGGTGGGTGAAGTGCCGCTCTGATCGTTGCCGCTTTGGCTCAAGATCGGAGCGGAGAGAGGAGGGCCCCCTGCGGGTCTGCCTGCTTTTGCTCTCTGGTTTAAACTGGGGCTGACGCCGCAGGGATGGCCGTCGACCCGACGAAGGAAGATATTGCGACATTCACATCGCTGGATAGCATCGCTGCATGGGCCGATCTACCTCAGGAAGTTCGGGCGGCGATCTACCAGGAGTTGGGTGCCACTGGGACGGAGCGTTTCCGGCTCATAGCGATGTTCGCCGAGAAGGAGGTCGATGACATGCCCGAGCGATGCTTCGGAGCAGCCTGGGCGGCCTCTGACGCGCTTGGAGAAGAAGGTGGTCCGGCTCTTCATTCGGGCCTGTCGCGTCGCCGGGGGCGTGGAGAAGAGCTTCGAGCAGTCCCGCATTGACCACCTGCTCGTGGACCAGGCCCGAGCTAAGGCTTCGGCACCTGCACCTGCTGGGGCCGGGGATAGTCAGGACGAGACTTTCAAGATCACGCTCGTCGTGGACCAGGCCTCGGAGACAGTCGTCCCCTATGTTGGCAAGGAGGTCATCGACAAGTTCTATGCTGCGTATCGCCAGGTCTTCGGGGTGCATAGGGCGCCGCCGGAGCACAAGGACCTCACCAAAGAGCAGATTTTCGCCTTCTACTACCGCCTCGCGAAGGACATCAACCCGTACTGCGACCTCTCGGTATGGAGGCTCTTCGGCAACCGCGTCCGGCGCAAAATGAAAAGCAAAGGCATGCAGCGTAAGGAGGATGGCACGATCCAGACGGTGGAGTTTTACGGCCCCCCGGATTTCCATACGTGGTCCCAGTCCTCCGAAGGTCTCTTCACCGCCCACGTCGGCTTTCAGTCGGCATCGTTGGGCGACCTCGTCGAGTACCACGGCCTCGTCAAGAGCTTCCACGAGCAGAACGGAGACATGTGTTGGTGGATCATCTACCAGGGGGACGTGCGCTGCCGCCTCGAGCACATGGAACGCTTGAAGCGGGATCTTTCGGACCAGGAGAACCAGGATATGCCATGGACGCATGTCTGGCAACAGGCCGTTAACGACTCCAAGTTTTGGAAGCGCGAGGTCGAGGACAAGTGCCTCCACATCCTCGCGGAGGCGGGCAAGCTGTCAGGTATGGTCGATTGTGATGCTCCGGTCGCCGCTCCCTCTGGCGAGGCGGCGCCGTCGAGTCCGTGGGCCAGACCGCCTTCGAGACGCTCCTGGGGCTCCTGGAGCGGCGGCGGCGGCGGCGACCAGAGGCCAGCCAAGACGTCCAAGGGCCCGAAGCAGCACAACGTCGTGGACGGCGAGTACCGCACGAACCGCGCGGGCTGGGGCCCTTGCTCGGACTTCCAGGTAGGACGCTGCCAGAACGGGGGCAACGGCTACTGCCCAAAGAACCGACGGCTTGCACACCTGTGCTCAAAATGCCTCGCCTTGGACCACGGCTCGTCCCACCCCACGCCTTGCACAGGAGCTCCCAAGGAGTTTTCTGCGGTCAGGCGCTCGTCCGGAAAGGGCGGGAAGGGGAAGGGCAAGTGTGGCAAATGGTGAGCTCGCGTCCCGGTTCGGGAGGTAGCGTGCCAGCCGGATGACGTTGCGATGACGTTGGCACCGTCGGATTTGTCATCCAATGCCCGGGCGCGTCCCGCAGAGCGGCCGCCAGCGGTCGCCGAACCCTCGCGCGCTCCTGTTGGAGTCGCGGATGGCTCCGGCCCTCCCGTCGAGATTTTACGATGTGACCGGCATGTGGAGCCAAGACGTCGTTTGCTGCATTTTTTCGGGGGGGCGCTGGCGACGGCCGATTCGGAGCGAGCCAGCGACGGGCACTGGGACACCACGGTGTACGACAAGGTGAACGCTACGACTTTGCAGAGGACGAGGTGTGGGGTGTGGGCAGACCTCGCTATCAAGATCGACGAGGGATTCTGGGGCGCGCTCCTGGCTACACCGCCGGCGCTGACCTTCCATCGCTACGCTCGCCTCAGAGGCCCAGGTGGCACGGACATCTTCGGCGTGAGGGGTCTGAAGCCGAACGAGTCCCAGTCGGTTCGGGAAGAGACGCTCCTGGCGAATCCAGCTGCTGAGGCGGCGCGCAGGTTCGACCGGCGCGGGCGCCCGCGGCTCGTGGGCGTGCCGGAGCCTCGCCAGGGAGTGTCGACGTTCCTCCTCCCAGCCTTCAGGTCGCTGGAGGCGTTGGCCAGCGTCTGCGACTGCAGCGTCGCACCGCGGAGCCCTGGGCTTTTCGACGGCGCGCCCGCTATCTTCAGAGGGAACTTCGCCCTGAGCTTCGAGCGCGACTTCGACGACCTCATGCGCCACCTCCGGAGCGCTTTCCTGGCCGAGCTGGACCGCGTGGACTCGATTCCGCGACCAGCTCAGGCGGGCTCGCGGCCAGACGAGCGCGCCAGCCCGACGTGCCTGCAGCGCGAGGTCCGCTTCACCAACCCCTTTCGTCGCATTGCGGAGAACCCGAAGGAGCAGAAGCGCAAGGAGGACGCCCGTTCCTTCGGAGGGCTCAGGGACGCCGCCGGCGCAGTCAGACGCATGCCAGGCCACCGCGTCATTGGCCTGGCCCTGGCTCACCTCATGTCCGTTTCTTGGACAAGTTCCCAGGTATCCAGCAACGAATTCTCGGGGCCACTGGAGGTGGCCACCCAGCGGGGGTCGACCCGCTCACGCTGGGCCCGACAGAGGAGGAGTTGGACATCTTCCGCGGGATTCTTGGGAAGGCGCTGGGCACGAATGACGTCGGACCAGCTCGCTCGGAGACCTGCCCCACGGAGCTCTGCGGGGGCCTCCTGCTCCAATGGGGCCTCCGCGCACGGGACCCACGCTCGCACGTTGCGCACTGGTGTTGGGATGGTGCGCCGGCCGGGGTCGCGGCTGACCCGGTCTTGGACGAGCTGTTCCCGGCCGCCGACGGCGACGGGGACGAGGTGCTGACCCCAGACGACCTCGTAGAGCCTGCTGAGGATTTCGTAAATTTCCCGGGTTTCGAGGACGACCAGGAGGCAGCAGAGCAGGTGTTCGCGTTCGCCAGCCGCGAGCCGCCTTACCTGAGGCCGTTCGGGACTACCTCCAGGCTGAGCCCATCCTGTCCCGGTTCGGGGTCATACGGAAGGTCAAGGATGGCAAGACCAAGAGTCGCGTCATTCTGGGCCCCCGGGCGTCGAAGGTGACATACGCCACTCGGCGGACTCACCGGGTCGCCCTGCCGAGGGTGACAGATTTAGTATCGGATCTATTGGACTTGATGTCGTCTCGGGGCTTTGGCGACGACATTGAACTCTTGATTTTGGATTTCGTTGACGCGTTCCGGAATGTGCCGCTCAGGTTCGACGAGCGACGGCATTTTGTGGGTCGTGTAAAAGGGGAATGCCTCGTCTTTTTCCGGGCGGCGCAGGTCTCGCGCAACAGCCCTCTATCGTGGGCTGCGGCTGCGTCGCTGGCCATTCGCTGCGCCCAGTCGGTCTTCGCGCCGGCGCCTAGCGCGGTCGGCAGGGGCCTCGAGCACGCGCGGACCCAGACCTTCGTCAACGACCCCGCGATTAGCGTGAGAGGCTCCGCCGAGGACCGTGCCCGCAGGATGTCGATGATTGTGCTCGCGTGGCGTGTCTTGGGCTTTCACCTGGCCTTCCACAAGGCGCACCAGGGCGTCTTGGTACCGTGGTTCGGGTGCGTAGTCACGGTGGGCTCCACGAACAGCCTGGTGCGGGTGGATAAGGCCAAGATCGACGACTGCAGGGCGTTCGTCCTCGAGTGCCTGCGCACCAACGTCGTGTCAGCCAAGCGTCTTCGGAGCGCACTGGGCTCGCTTGCACGCGTCGCCTCCCTGGTGTTCATTATGCGGCCCTTCTTGAACCAGATGTGGGGCGCGCTCGCCGGGAGCTCGCCTGGCGCGCCGCCTGGGTGTATCTGGACGGCGCAGTTCAAGCGGCCGCTAATGTGGTTGCATGCCTTCTTCGACATGGAGATTGGCGACCTCGTCCGGGTGTTCTACCTGGGCGCCTACCTGGGGACATGCCCGAAGATCCGGATCGTCACGGATGCAAGCCCTTGGGGGTTCGGAGGTTTCATCGTCATCGAGGGCGTCTTTGTCTCATGGTTCGCAGCGGAGCTGCCCCCAGACCTCGCGAAGGTCGTGGGGGTCGAGATCGGCTCTTGCACTGGCCAGCAAACCTTGGAGGCGGATCAGCCATGTAATTTTCGACCCCGGGACCGTGTCTGTAGCGTGGGATTTGCCTGCGTCGAAAAAAACGACCCGACAGCACAGGGCAGGCAGAGAATGTGGGAGTGTCTGTGCAAAGCGGATGGCGGCCCACATCCATGCCCTTACCATTTGTTTGTCACGCACTTTGAGCGTCTTCGGGAACACTTCGGGCAGCTACACGCTGGCCTTCCCGTCTTCCCGACGTCGTCGGGAAACGTGATCGCGAAGGCTGCCATGGCCAGGTCGATTGAGGAGGTCGCCTCGAAGCTCGGCCCCCCGATGCGCGACGACCTCGGCAGACCCCGCTTCGGAGGCCACGCGCTCCGAGTTACAGGCGCTCGGTGGTTGGCCTCTCTTGGGCTACCGCTCGTATCGATCCAGCTTCTGGCGCGCTGGTTGTCGGAGACTGTTCGGCGTTATATATCTGAGGCGCCCTTTCGGCGCCTCTCCGTGGACTACATGGCTGCCGCTGGCGGCATGCATCTGTGAGCATTCATATCCAAATCCGATGAGGAGCTCAAGGCTTTAAGGTCGAAGGTGCAGGGCCTTGGTGACCAGTTCTGGAGGGAGCTCCTGGAGCTCCGCACGAAGGCCCAAGAGCCTCAAGGTGCCGCAGAGGAGGCAGAGTCTGACGACCAGCCTCCTGTTCCGCCAGCGCCGGTTCAGCCTCGTGGTCAGGGCGGCTCGGACGACCACCTGTGGATCATGAGTGCTGTCCCGAGGAAGTCCAGTGCCTAGAGGCTAACTGCACATTTCCACGGGCTTCCTGGTATACTATCCGGGGATTCGGAAATGGGGAGGACGATGTGCAGCTGGTCGTTTGGCCGTGCCAGGTTCACGTGCCTCGTGGACCGCCCTCCTGATGCGGTGGTATGCTTACGCTGCTGGGGCCGCTTCGCCGCTCAGCAGAGCGGCTAGCATCTGGCACCACGGTGGCCCCAGAAGGCGCACGCACCCGGGGCGTGCAGCCGTGGTCACAGCAGCAGGGGCACATGCGATCAGCAGCTTCGCATTGCAGTCAAAAGTGTTCTGCTAGGGAGGGAGGGTGGTATGTGCGCCAGGACATGTGTGAAGGTACAGTGGCGCAGTTACTTCGATTGTCACATGTCCAGTCTCTCTCTGGGCCCCGGTGGGTGGGTGAAGTGCCGCTCTGATCGTTGCCGTTTTGGCTCAAGATCGGAGCGGAGAAAGAACCCGCCCGCCCACAACCTGTCAAGGGCACCACGGCGGGCCCAGAAGACGCACGCACCTGGGGCGTGCAGCCGTGGTCACAGCAGCAGGGACAGATGCTATCAGCAGCTTCGCATTGCAGTCAAAAGTGTTCTGCTAGGGAGGGAGGGTGGTACTTGCGCCAGGTCATGTGGTCCAAAGAAAACAAGAACCCCAGTTAGGATGTGGGGAAAAACAAAAATGAAGAATAGGACTAGGGGCAGAGGAGAGTAAAGGATGGGGACGGCAACGACGAGGAACGACTTGAATCCAGAGGGGTGTTTCACGCCAGGAGCGCGAGTCTGAGCGACTGGAACAAAATGCCGACCCTGAATGGCGGCTATCGCTGCAGTGGGAGAACCAGATTTGAAGGACCGACCTGCCCTGCTGAACAAGCACAGACGGGGACATCAGCATATGACATGTTTCATCGAAGCAACACGCAAGAGGGGGCGCCCCCGCAAAAGCGCGACTTCAGGGGAGAGAGGGGAGTAGTATTGATCGTGTGTAATGGAAGGGGGGGGACGACGAAGGGGGGGAGAAGGGACTCTGGAAGACAGGGTCGGCTGCTGCGTTGTCGGCCACCCAGAGGGGGCGAACGGGGCAACCACGACTCAGGCATAGGTGGCGGCGACGGAAGTTCACGCCAGGAGGCTACGACCATCCTGTGTCTGACCGTTGCATCTGACTGGGACTGCTCTCCGCGGTGCGATGTGGCGCGCAGCAAGGTTCATCGAGTTCCAGTTCACAGTATCAGTCCGCCTGTCGTAAATTTCACCCGCGGCCTTATGCTAGGGTGATCGTATCAGATGTTCGCTATGCGGCAAACATATGGGAAAGTGTCAGTTTCGTTGAACGCCATTGGTTGGATTCTTGAGATGTTCGTGTCCCGTTGGTCTCGCGCAGGACGTGCTGCCAGGGCAGTATGACGTCATGGAGGGTCCTGGCAGAACTGCCGGGGGGGCTCGCGGTGAGCAGGAGCAGACATGGCTGGATCAGGGCGCACGGTGAGGCGATGGCGGCAGGAGTGGCTCGAAAGAGCCAAGGTGTTCAGCGATGCGTTGCCATTGAGCTGCGATGGACTACGTTGTCTGGGATGAAGGAACTGAGGAGCGGAGTGGTGAGAGGGGAAGAGGGGGTTGTGGCTAGGGGGCGGACAGGGGGAGCGAACAAGGGAGGAGAGGGCTGGGGAGGGGGAAGATACGGCGAGAGTGAGGGAAGGGATCTGGTCCTTGTCGTCGCTCCTGTGGCCCTCCCTGCCTCCCTGCTGCTGTCCATGCGTGGCTCTGGCTGGGCTCCCGACGTTCAGAGGCTGCACCTGGGGGATCCCCTCAAGAGTCCTCCACAAAGCCGGAACATAACAGGGAAGAGAGGGGAGGGGAGAGTTAGCAGACGGCGAAGAGGGGATGAGGGCAAGGGGTGGGTCGATATCATGGCGGGGGACATGCAATTTTGCAGATTAACCCGCTCCCCCCCCCCTCCCTTGTCCGTGCACGTGCATCGGGTTATGATGCCTTAGCCCCACTCTTCCTGGCCCCAATTCTCGGCACACCCGAGAGAGAGCTGGCAGTGCCCCGTCATCAGCGCGTCGCAGGCTGGCCTTTCCATGATGCTCGGTGTGTCTGAAGCCTCCGGTGTCTGCGCTCATGTGGAGCGTTCCCGAACGGACCTCGCGTTCGCGGGGTCAAGGTTGACATCTCCTCTCCGATGGCAGGCGGCGGAAGCAAAACGAGGGCGCCACCGCCGGCGGAAGGCCAGCGGAAGCTTGCGGAAGCCAAGTTGTGGCCCAGGAGATATTGTTTTGCAGGGAGCCGGGGTTTTCGGAACCCGCCGTGTGGTGGCGTTGCCCTTCGCAAGTGCAGCACGAGCGTGGATGTGCGATCGATTCACAAAGTCCGTCGATTGACATACCCGCCCGCCAGCGTTTTCGCGGACATGCGGTCGACGCGACCGTTTACCTGCCCAGTTGTCGACCCACCTTTCGATGGACGCAGTGGCGGTGTACATGTGGCCACCCATGGCCAGACAGGGATTGGGTGCTAGTATTTCTACGCATCGATCGGGCATTGAATTCGATACATGTTGCATGTGAAATCGAGTGTGGAGGACCGGTGAAACGCGAGAGCGGCTCATACATCCGATGCCCGCGGCTTGCTGGTGAGCTGCGCATTCGTGTCGCGTGTGATCGTCAGCAACTCATGGGAGCCGTGAGTGTCCGCGAAACTCAATGTCTAGGATCCGTGCACGCTAGCATCTGGTAGTCGATGAGACAGCGCTGACTTATCGTCGGCAAGCGCCGATTAGCGTGCACCAGCGTTGGTAAACTTCGATTCGCAAGAGGAGGCCTCAAGTAGTTACCACATAAGGAGGGCAGGTGCAGCGCGAGAGCGGCCCATCCATCCGATGTCCGCGGCTCGCTGATGCGTTGATAATTAGGTCTCGGGTGCGCGTGGAGCACTGTTCCAATCCATCTAGCAAGGACTAGACGCTTCTTACAGGCCTCGTACTGCCAACCGATGGACGGTTGCTCGCCCGCGGCAATTTCCACAAACTTGTCATGAGGCCGATGGTGCTGGTACCTGCAAGCAGCATGTTTTCATTCCGCGTGCCCCACATCAGTAGAATGGTGAGTGGCGTGCAACCCGTATGGCCGCCTCCGTCCTCTCTCTCTCTCTCTCTCTTCTTCTTCCTCCTCTTCTCCCCTCTTTCCCTCCCCTTTCCTCCCCTGCCCGCTCCACCCCCCCTTCACCTTCTCGCTTCCTTACCCCTCTGCGCACTTCGTCCACTCCACTTCCTTTTCCTTTTCTGCCCTCATCCTCACCAGGGCTCCGTTCCATCCCATCCCCCTCATCCCACCTTGTGAGGACAATCCTGAAGGCCTCGCGGGGCGCGCAATAGTTGTACTACTTAGTCCACACGTCCGCCCCGTCAGATACGGGACGACTTTCGCACGGCGATGCTCCGACGTGAGTCCGACGTAAATCCGACGTGAACCCGATGCACATCTGACGTGAATCCGACGCGGATCCGGAGCACACCGGGTCGCAAGTTTTGCCGCGCGAGGCCTGCGGTATTTCTTCTCTCCGTATCCCTTCCACCCCCCGTCTCCCGCCCTCCGAGCCGCCGCCCCTCCCACCAGCTCCCGCACATCCGGCGCTTCGATCAACAAGTAGAGAAAAAGGTGTTCGTAACTCTCGGCCTCTCGGGGCCCGTACGGGGCCTCGGGACCGTCAACGGAAACGACCCGGGATGAGACACCCGCCCCCGGGGAGTGGTCGAGAGCTCGGGGGCCAGTGCCTCGGACAAGATCGGGGCGCCAGGATAATGGATTTTACGCCCTCCTCCTCTTCCTCCTCCTCCTCTCCTCCTCTTCCCCCTCCTTCTCCCCCTCCTACTCCTCCCCCTCCTCCTTCTCCTCCTCCTCCTCCTCCACCACCTCCTCCTCCTCGTCTTCCTCATCCTCCTCCTCATCCTCCTCCCCTCCTCTTCCCCCCCCCTTCGCATCTTCCCCCTCCTCCCCCTCCTCCTCCCCGTCCTCCTCTCTCCTCCTGTTCCTCCTCTCTCCTCCTCCTCCTCCTCCTCCTCCTCCTCCTCCTCCTCCTCCTCCTCCTCCTCCTTGTGGCAGCAGCAGGAACAGCGGATGCCTTTTTGCCTTGAGCCAACCCGGCAACAGACCACGAACGTCGTGAGTCTTGGCTCCAACTCTCTCGTGAATGAAACGAATGTCTTGTAGGTTTAGCAGCCCCCATGCGAAAAAGCACATGCCTAGCAGGACCCTAGGAAAAAGGGGAGAGAAGGAGAAAGGTTGCCGGACTCTGGACATGGAACGACACTGCAGAAAGCCGACCAGGACACGAGCTCAGAGTCTTGAGCTAGAGTTTTTCTGGAGGCGGCCTGGGAGCGATCCTTGCTTCCTGGGTTCTGCTTGCGTCGATCCAGCTCCTCGGCCTCGTCTACGAGGACCAGCTTACCATGGGTGAGCAGACTCGCTAAGGCGGCATTGCCCTTGGATATGTCATCCTTCGTTGAAGCATCCACGGGCATCCGACCGTGGGGAATCCAGTGGATGTGTCCGCTGGCCTTTTCTAACGTCTCGCACACCACTGCCAGATCCAGTGCCGTCCTCCTGTCCCTGGCACTGGGGTTGCCTTTCTTGAGCATTGTGTCGTAGATGCTCTTGGCGTCTACGACGTGGACCTGCTCTTCACGACCGCCAAGTCGGCAGTTGCTCCTGAGAACGGTCGTGAACGGACCTGTTCCTCGGCAGTAGTCCGAAACGTCCACATCTTGAAACATCACGTCTCGGTACCAAACTTGAAGAAACTCTACTTCCCCCACTGCCGCGGACAGAGCTTGCGTTTCGCCGACCAGGGTCGAGGTAACTTTCCAGCGGAGCTTTGAACTCCTCCACCCGAGGGTAGACGCTCGAACCGAGCGGTTATCGATCACGCTCTTATCCGTGGCAAGCACCATCCATGCGCCCTGCGAGGGATCCTCAGGGAGGCTCCTCTCGTCCACCTGACCTTCGTTCGCCCCGACCCCTCCGGCGTCGGAGAACGATATGAAAGCCATTCTTTCTGGGTCGAGGCGCCAGATGCTCATGCCTCTAGAGGCCGTCGCTCTCAAGTGGCGGACCATCTTGTTAGCACAGGACACATCTCCTACCGTAGGCTGCTTGAGCCTGCTGGCCAGAATGCTGGCCGTTCCCGCGGCCTCCGGTCGAGATTCACGCCCGACCCAGTTCAGCTTGTAAATGAGTGATCTTTTGGGCCTTGAACTCTTCCTTATCGAGGGGGGACTTCTTCTGACCCAACCGTCCCCGGGCGAGAGTGACGGGTCGGATCTCCTCGAGAATGTACTTTTCTTGGTCTATTGTCGTGCGCTGCGGGCCGACGCGAACAGATCGTCCGGCATACTCGACGGGCCCCGCGTGACAGTCGCGGCATTTCCCGAAAATGAATTTGTTCTCGAGAGTACTCCTGATCCATTGCCTGGACTCGGACGAGTTGTTGGCTATAAAGAAGTCATCCACCTCCAAGAGAATCATGTTAACCATTTTTTCTCTTGAGTCGTACTGGGTCCACCAACACGGTTCTAGTAGGCTTCGACAGAAGCCCTTGTCTTTCAGAAAACGGACGATAGTTTTGCGCCATGCTAGAGGCGCGTCGTCGAGACCATAAGCATTGACTTTCAAACGGATGAGCGAACCGGGTTCAACCTTGATTCCTTCGCATGGCTCCACATTTATTTCTCCTTGTGAACGCTGCATTGGATCCGACTGGCAAAATGCATTCTTGACATCAGCGATGTCACCGAGGAGGGAAAGGTTCATCATCACCTGAGTGAACATATGAATGGATGTGGCCTAGGGAGTAGGGGAGTAAACGAACAATGAGCCTGTGTCCGGATCCTTGTGTCCGTGCACACACCAGCGCGATGTTGCCTGAGGCGTTGAAAACGTACTTTCCACAGGCTTCCACCTACGCACCATTCGGCTGGTAATGATGCGCTCAGGACAAGAGCGCTTCACTGCCGCAGCCTCCTTCGGCGGTATAACTTCTACCGCTCCTGAGTTGCTCATACTTTGCCACTCCTTATCATCTGATATCTCAAATTTGCTACGCTCTGCTGGCGAGAGCTTGCCGAGAGACACTTCGCCGCCACGGCCGGCCGCAAAGATTTCCAGATCCGGCTCGGGTCCCGGGACCTCGGTCAGAGCCACTCCCCCATCGTCTCCCGGCGTCACCCAGAAGTGTGCCCTTCCTCTTTGAGACCGCTCACGCTCTCCCGATTCGCTGCCGCGGGACATATTCTCAAACTCCTCGATCCTGCGTCCGACGATACCCCGATGCTCCTGGCCAGGCCCGAACTCGGTCGGGCCCGCAGGTGAGGAGGGATGGGAAGACGGAGGAGGGAGAGCAAGAGGGGAGTGGCCG